GGTTTAGGGTTTAGGGTAGAACCCTGGGCCTTGTAGAAGCCCATGGAGCCCTGCAAAGGGTTCTAGAGCATGTTTATCAGGAGGGAAACCTTTATTGAGGCTTGCAAAGGGTTCTAATGACACTTTAGACGGGCTTGGCCACGGGGGTTTTGCACTTGGTCTAATCAGGTGGAGGGCTCAGGGTCGGCAGGTGAGCGTTCCGGTTTGGGTGCAGGGGCAGTGGCCCGGCTGTCCAGCTTGTAAATCAAGTTCAGGGCAGAAAAAGTTTGTCTGGGTCCTGGTTGGATGCAATTTTTACATTTTTGTTATAATGAAACCCTAATCAGGATTAAGCATGATCATTTTTAAAAAGGCCCCAACGGGGTACCAGTTGTCCTTTCAAGCTCAAGTGCAGTTCAAAGATGTTCCAGTGCGCTGCCAGCAAAGACGCAGGATGATGCATTGACGCTTGTAGTAGCAGGACTAGGGTTTAGGGTTTAGGGTTTAGGGGCTATTCTTCTTTCATGCCCGAAGTTTCTCCCCCAACGCCCGGCCGTCGGTGATTCCTTTTTCATGAAACCTAGCTGCGGCTGTGGCAGTTGCATCAGGATCACAAGGCTTTGCCTTTCAAAGTTGGAGTCAAGCTTCAGGGGTTTGTGCAAGATCAGGTCCCGGTCTGGACTGGATTTGTCTTGGTTGCAAAACTCGCTTTTCTCCACTCGGTCAGGCAAGAATGGCTATGTTTGGTGCAATTCAGGGGTGAGTACGGTGAAGCTTCACCATCCCATCCCACATCTGCTTTTGGACGTCTTGAGGACTGCGAGCCGGGATTTCACGAATGCGCGGTCTCGTATTCTGTCCTTCAAGCTTGGTCTGGCGCTCAATGTGGAGAAGCACAGCAACCATCGGTCATCACGAAAATAGGAATGCGCGTAGCCATCACTAGAGGCAGCCCCCCAACCTCACGACCTCAAGGACAATTGAAGCGATGATCGCATCCGGTTTGAATGGCAACAATCACAGATGGTCTAATGCCACTCTTGAGAACATACAGTAGTAACAAGTACACCTGCGATCGCATCATGGAGCTAATTCCATTGACGGTGATGGTGATGCTGATGATGATGATGATGTTGATGATGGTGATGGTGATGGTGATGGTGATAAGGATGATGATGATGGTGATGATGGAAACCGTGATCATTGTTGATGACTGTGGAAGAATATGATGACAATGGCGGTGATGTAATGCAACGCACTGTAGCAACAGTACCAGGCACTCCACAGACTTGGGTTTGGCGTGCCTTCTTGCTTGAGTGATTCGGATTGAGGGCATGGCATTCAGCATTTCGCGCTCGGCGTCCCCATCCACTCCGAAAGCCTGACGAATCTGTACCCAGAGTTCTGGTTCAGCATGCTGCGGAGCTTGCATTTCAGGCTGGTTAAAGTCTCGGCATTTAGAGTTCAGGGCTCTCTATGCAAGTTTAGGGAGCTCAGGAACTCAGACCAGGTTCTTTGCAGCATCAGGATTGTAGAAGCAGCACAACTCGACAGGCGGGTCTCACAAGTTCCCAAGCGATCCAGCAATGCTCGCAGTCGATGTCGCCGGCATGACAGGTGCCATGATGCTGCAGCACACGTTATTACGACGGCTGCTGGTATTCTGGCCACATGCACGTGACATGGACCCGAAGGAGCAGCAGCAGATGGCGAACCGGCTGATGCTGTTCGTGGCTCCCCCCACCATGGTCACTCTAAGCGCGGCTTTCCTGTGCAGCGACGGCTTCACAGACCCGGAAGTTCGCTGGGCGAACGTGGCTTCAGGGCCTGCTACGACGGGTGAGTGGGCAGGCCGTGTCTTCGTCGGCTTCAACCTCTACGAGTTGGCCCGAACCTGAGTGAAATGGGGGTATTGTGAGTGATGTGAGTAGCTTGCTGTAGCCAGCTTTTGCTACTGCTCCAACCGTATCTTTTCATTACGAGGTCTTCTACGCCGCCTATGGCAAGGGCGTGGCCTTTTGGCTGCACCACTTGGTGACATTGGTGATTTGCCTGCATTGGCTCACACTACGCACGGCCACATTCTGGGGATGTGCAGTCATTCTCATGGAGATCACTACGCCGTGCCTAGTCGCCACGCGGATGATGAAGGAAGCCGGCTGGACGAAGGAGCCGCTGTACAAGCTGGCAGTTAGCAGCTGCTGGGTTTGTTGGATCGCCGTGCGAATATGCTTTGTGTTCGCCTTGATCCTTGTCTATTGTGTCGATCTTTACCGTGGCTTGCCCGCCCACGTTCCAATGCACTTCGCGCTCATGAACGGGGTTTCTGTTCTTGGCCTCTTCGTTCTATCCTGCATCTGGTTCGTGTCCATCACGAAGATCTTCCTCAAAGTCGTGACCGGAAAGGAGAGAGCTGAATGAGGGATGATCAGGGCAGCTAGAACCTAGTATGTGCTGGGGCCGCAGCAGCCCTGGCAAATGGCAAGTTCGCCCTGTCGAACGCCCCAGTGATGTAATTCTATTGGTCAGATGGTTTGTCCCTCAAGCACTATGTGGTGCCTTTCAAATTTTGAATTGTGCATTTAAGCAAGATTTTGTGTCACCATCTCACGTGAAATGCATCTCAGGGATGTGGACCACTTGTGTTTCAGTTTCGGGCGGGTACCTCCTTGGAGTCGTCTTGAGTTGATCTCCCTCTTAAACCAAGGGCCTCACCCTAAACCCTAAACCCGAAA